GGGAGTCACTGACCAGTCAGCCTAGTGAGTTCCCAAGGCCCAGCTCCCATTGAGAGTCCCTGTCTCAAAAACAAACAACAACAACAACAAAAACCAAGGTGGACAGCTCTTAAAGAATAACACTAGAAGCTACTCCCTGACCTCCAACACACACACACACACACACACACACACACACACACACACACACACACACCACAGAGAAATACAACATACTATCAGTGTAAAAAGCAACCTATAGAAGGAGAAGCAATATTTGCAAATCACACAGTTGATAAGGAAATAACAATCAAAACATATGAAAAAACCCTAAGAAGCAATTTGAAAACAAGCCAGGGCATTTCTCCAAATAAGAGCTCCACCAGAGGATGTTCAGCATCACAGAATGTGAGGGAACACAAATCAGAACCACAATGAATGCCATAATGAAACCTAATACTGCATCCTAAGCAAAAAATATCATTCCCATTAGGGTGGCTCCTGTCAAAAATGTTGATTCTAAGAGGGACATATAGATAGCCCCAGGAAGGGGAAATAAATGAGATCTCCTGGGTAAACTGGGGGCTTGGGGGTAGGAGGAGGGAATGGGGAATAAGAACATGAGGGAATGGGATGGTCGAGTTGTGGGAGGGATGGAGTGGGAGAGCAAGGAAAGAGATATCTCAATAGAGGGAGTCATTACAGGGCAAGGGAGAAACCTGATGCTAGGGAAATTCCCAGGAATCCACAAGGATGAACCCAACTAAGACCCCTGGCAGTAATGGAGAGGGTACCTGATCTGGCCTTCCCCTGTGATTAGATTGATAACCATCCTAATTGTCTTCATACAGCCGTCATCCAGTAACTGATGTAAACAGATGCAGAGATCCACAGTTAAGCATTGGGCAGAGCTCCCTGAGTCCAGTTGAAGAGAGGGAGGAGGGATTACATGAGCAAGTGGGGGTGGGGTCAAGATCATGATGGGAAACCCACAGCAATAGTTGACCAGAACTTGCAGGAGCTCACAGACTCTAGACCGACAGCTGGGGAGCCAGCATGGGACTGAACCAGGCCCTCTGCATGTGGGCAACAGTTTTGTAGCCTGGTCTGTTTGTGGGACTCCTGGAAGTAGCATCAGAATCTATCCCTGGTGCATGACCTGGCTTTTTGAAGCCTCGCTCAGCCTTGATGTGGGGTGGGGGTAGGGGTGGGGATTGGTCCTGCCTCAACTGAATGTGCCAGGCTTTGTTGACTACCCATGGGAAGCCTTACCCTTTCTGAGGAGTGGATGGGGGTTGATTGGGGGGGTGTGGGGGAGGGAGAGGAGGGAAGGAAGGGGAATAAATAAAATATTTTCAAAATGTTGGCTTTTTTATCCCTTTATGCTCTGCATGTGGGGATAAAAAGTAGCATAAACCCTGGATAAACAGTACATGGAACCTCAAAAACGTAAAAATAGGGCATGGGGTGTAGCTTACTTAACAGAATGTTTGTCTAGCATGCAGCAAGCCCTGGACTCCAGCTGCAACATCACATACATAAACTGGGTGTGGTGGCACACACCTGGAATTCTTGCACTCAGGAGGTGAAGGCAGGAAGATCAGAAGTTTAAGGTCATCTATAATGAGCTTAGGGCCAGTCTGGGGGTACATGAAACCTTGTCTCAAAGTAATTTAAAAGTAGAAATGTTGTATGATTCAGCAATTTCATCTCTAGGTTTAAGCCTCCACAGGATTTAAAGCAGTCTTGAAGTCATATGTGTACGCCTATGCTCATTGCTGTGTTGTCCGCAAGAGTCAGATTCACAGAGATAGAAATTAGAACAGTGGTTACCACCCACTGAAAGAAGGGGATGTGGGAAATTATTGTTTAATGAGCACAGGGTTTCAGTACAGCAAAATGCAAAGCCTGGGGCTTAAGGGTGGTAATGTTTACGAAATCTGAATACCCTTAGTGTCAGTAAATTGTGTGATTACAAATTATTAAGATGGCAAATAAACTCTGTTCTGTGTGTTTGGCCACACAGAACAGAAAATCTTTGAAAGACTAATAGTATTACACTAAAATTATAGTTCAAAAGAAAGTTGTTTGCTCTTCGTGTTGTACCACCAGTGACAAGGGGGATGGGAAGTCTTGGCTTCTAGTGAGCCATTTGGTAGACGTAAAAGACAGCATCTATTACATAGATCTCTCTGGAGAAGGCGAGTGGCTGAGCTGAAGGTGAAGGAGGGTGGTTGGACTCCTTATTTCCGCCATTGCCTGCCCTGTAGCACATCTCTTAACAGTTTCCAAGGGAGCACAGAGCTTGGAATGTGCACATTGCTATCACTTGGCAACCAGAAACTGCTGGCTTTGACCACCAACCAGTCCTTCCTGACACCCTGTGCCCTTATCTGGCATGAGCCCTTTTCCACCCAGATAGACAGGGCCTACCCAGTGGGGAGGCATCTCCCACCTGCTCCCTGTCTCACAGGCAGACTGGGGCCCTTGCTGATGTAGGTAAGTCCCCAGGAAGATCTGGATGGACCAGGGAGGCATAGAGAACTTCTAGTCCAGAGAATCTTCTCTCTTGTTTCAATGGGTGGAAGATGATGGGGATGGGGTGAGTAGAACACAGCCAGGTCCTTGTAGGCTGGGGTGGGGAAACAGAGCTAAGTTCCGTTTTATAATATGCTAATGCCTTTTCCAAATTAACTACTTTCTAAGGCACAGGTCACCACTAGCTGGGAATAGGAGGACCACAGCAGATGCCGTGCCCTGATCATCTCAGCAGTCACCTGGGAGCATCCTCTGACTTCTGTAACTATCTACCTGAGGGTTTTCCCTAATTCTAGACATAGCTCTTACCTGAGTGAGACACTCCCAGTTCCCCAGTCTTGAGTTGGAACATCTCTGAGGTCTTTCATACTCTGCCCTCACTGTTCCCTGGCAAGTGTGAGCCCCCAGAGGTTTGCTCAGGAACATCCTTTGGCCACCCCTCCTGCGAGGTGCTGGAATCAGCTCCCAAATAAGCCACTCAGAACTTTTTTTCCCCAACAGGATCTCTTGTAGCTCAGGATGGCCTTGAATCCACCATGTATCTGAGATTTGCCTTGAGATCCTTATTGTGGGGACACCAGACCTTGAGCAGAGACCCACTTCCCCATCAGCCTGGGAGTAGGCAGCTGTAAGACAATGTTTACTAAAAACAATACAATGTTGGGGACAATAATTCCTGAAAAGGGCTGGCCCTGACCTTGACCTTTTCCAAAGACTAAGTGCCTCTTCTGACACACCCAAGTCAGTTTTCTGGTGTCAGAGCAGAACCAGCCAGGGGAAGGAGAGAGCAGAAGCTTTTCTGGGGGGAGGCCTTTCTTGGGAAGTTTTCTTGAGCCTTTTTGGGGCCTGCTTAAAGTTTTCTTTACACCGTTGAACGAGTCTCTGTGTTGTCAATCCCCGACACTCTCCCCACATTCTCAGACCCAGGCTGCGCAGCGGACGCGGCACCTTATCCTCTGCCTCTTCCTCCCAACCACTGGGATTACAGACACATGCCACCTATCATACCTTCAGCATTGGCTTTTGGAGAAGTCATGCTAAGATAGCCAATGGCGTATAAAAGAAAAGGGAGGTATGTGAGCTGCAAGCCATAATCAATGATATGCAAAACAGTGTGGAACCAAGGATTAGTAGTGAGAGAACAGGCTTCTCATGAAATAAGAGGTTGCATTACAAAAGGGGGGAGGGGTACGTAAAAGCATTAATGAAGCTGACCAAAAGTCCAGCCTGCCTTTTATTATCATCATGAACCAGCAATTCTTAGACACTTCAGTGATAAAATTCTCCTCCCTACTGGTGCTGATAGCTTTCTCGGCTGCATGCCTGCCCTCCTCCCCCCAGCATGCTGCCAACTCCCAGAGCACAGTGTAGAGGGTAATTAAAGACAAGCAAGAGATGAGAGAGACAGTGTTGATTCTCCAGTCACACAGGGACAGCTGAGTTTCATACGTAGGTGCCTTTGCACACCCTGTTCCCTTTCACAGGAAGGTTTTTCTTTATTCTTCCATTAGGGTTCTGTGCAGTCATCCATCTCTTTCTCCAAGAAACCCTTCCTGACCCTCACCTGAATCACATGATTCCTGTGGGCTTATACAGGAAAGGCAGGTTTCACACTGGATTAATTTTTGTCTGTCCTTTCTTAACCACTAAACAGCTCCATCGGGGTAAGACTGTGGCTTATTCACCAGCCACGAGAGCTGAAGGATGTCAAGGTTATTACAGAAAGGAGAACTGGAGATGAAGGAACACTTGGAAGTGACATTAGAAAAGCATAGGGGCTGTGGCAGACTGAGAGCCGACTTCCCTTCACCTTTGTGGAGGGAGCTCTGGGTTGTTTGGACCCAAGGAACATGGTCCTCCCTGTGTTTTAACAGAATCCCTCCAGTTGCAGGGTGAAACAGTGTTGCAGAAAAGGTTGATGCCAGGCACCAGGTGAAAGAAAAGACAATGGCTTGGGTCATTGTACCAACCAAAATGGGGAAAGTGAATTTACTTGACTACAAAAAAGTGCTGGACTTCAAAAAATTGGAGACATAATAGGTGGTCAAAATCTTGACGTAGATAGAACAAGTAATGATATTTGGCTATTCGCTCATGGGCTCCAACAACTCTCTGGTCTGTTTTGTCACTTGCAAAGTTAGGGCGAGTAATGGAATAGACCCAAGAATTTTTCGCGAGGTCATGTAAAGGTTTTGTCACAGGATTTAGTGTGAAATCTATACGTACAAATGCTATCCTAGAAGCCAACTTGCTGGCCCCCCAGGAACATCTCTATAACTTACTGGCTGACTGTGACAGTTTCCAAATCTATAAAGTGGAATAGTACTGTCATTAATACCAACCGCTTAAGATTTAATCTGGGAGAGTTCAATAAATGCATTCAAGTTCAGCGCGTAGAATAAGATGCTGCCAGGCAAGCACTGCAGACATGCTTATGAATTACTATGAAAGCATATAAACCAGACTGCTTAAGTTCTTCCTACCCTAGTATACTCCACTTTGCAGATGAGAAGCCTACTGTGGTTGGCAGTAAGGTGGCCTCTTCCCAACGATAAACCACCTCACTTCAGTGGTCGGTGTGCTGCAGGCGGAAGCAGAAGCGGGCTATGAGAAGCCGGGTCGCCGCCCTCGCGTTCCCTAGCGGAACCTTCCAACGCGGCGCCAGCTGGTCCAGCCCGGAGCGCCTGCAAAGCTAGGAGCTATTTCCGGCGCAGGTTTCTGCGTTTCTGCGCAGGTGCGGACTGAGCCAAAAGAGGAGGGAACACCCCAGTTGTCTCCGCTTTCGCAGTCCCGCTCCTCCGAGGCGGAGCGGAGCGGCTTGCTGCATTGCCAGCTCCCTTTCTTCCTTCCCCACAGGAGCCGCGAGCGTCCATGGCGGGCTTGGAGGTCCTCTTCGCGTCGGCCGCGCCTGCCATCAGCTGCCCACAGGACGCGCTCGTCTGCTTCCTGCACTGGGAAGTGGTGACAAACGGCTACTATGGCTTGGGCACAGGCGACCAGGTACGCTGCTGCGCTGCGGAGCAGGCCTGGGTGGAGGGGAGTCCGAAACCAGAGGCCCAGAGGTCTCGGCTGACCCTGCCAAGCCAGGGCCGGAGGTGACGCCGCACTTTTGCGCGCCTGGAGCTGGTGCCAACAGCTGGCACAGCGTGTGTGTAAACCCGAGAACCGAAAGGCGTCCCAGCACTGCCCAGCAGTCGCCCAGGCCATGTGTGGATCTGACACCGAGGCAGACTAGTGCCTTCCTTAAAGTCCTCATCCGCCTTAAAGTCCTCATCCGCCCGACTTTCTCAAAACATCTCTATCACACACAGTCATGGCGTGGGATACTCAGTGCTACACACCCCACTCAACACACACACACACACACTCTCAGTGCTACACACCCCACTCAACACACACACACACACACACACACTCTCAGTGCTACACACCCCACTCAACACACACACACACACACACACACAGCCTGACGGTGAACTTTGACCGACTCCGCACGATGGACCAGCCAGAACCACACACACACACACACACACACACACACACACACACACACACACACACACACACACACACAGAGCCTGACAGTGAACTTTGACCCACTCCGCACGATGGACCAGCCAGAACCAACTCTCTAGTCATCCACAGCCCAGACTCCTAGACGCAGCACACTTAGACCTTGTTTGTGAGTGTTCTTCCCTTAGCTGTCTCCACCAGAACCCAATCTGTTCTCCTGTCTCCAGATTCTGCCTCTTAACTGATGGGGCCTTGTTGACATCCCCATAGAGGCCCAGCATGGACCCAGTATACATCACTGATTCTCTGTCCTAGCCTTCTCCTTTTCTCTGCCCCTTCCTTATGACCCTGGCATCTACCTGTATGGCAGGTGGCCCTGGTCCCTTTACTGCCCTTCACTTCCTGTCTGCTCCACCAGAGGATCTTCAGCCACAATCCCATGTACACATACTTGGGGAGTCAGGGACTCCAGGGTTTTCCTCTATGTCACTGTCTTGGCACTCAAAATCCAGACCAGTTCTGGAAAGAAGGTCCCCTCACCCCCTGGATCTTATGGAGAGGTTTTAATTTTCCTCTCATATTTCTAGCTACATCAATTCCCAAACCCCTACATACCTTTAGCTTCTTAGATATGTTAGAGTCTTAGTATGTTTTCTCCCCTCACACAGCTTTATGGACTCCTCCTCTGACACACTGAACATTCTGAACACTTAACCAGGCAGAGCCCGGCTGGTGTCCCATTCCTACCTGTCCTGTAAAACTAAGAACTCAGACCACTCTACCCTGTTTACGCTTTACCCCCATTAGAAGGAAGCAATACACAAAAATTTTTATTGATTTCTTTCCTCTCCTTGTTCCCTCCCAAACCTCAAGTAGCTCCCCAGGACTAGAAGATGCAGGATCCAGACATCTTCCCGAAGGACAAGGAGCCTGGGGGCTGGGGGTTTTGGAAAGTATTGCCTGCTGACCTGTCTGCCTCAGTACTGAACCCTGCGTGCCCTCAGGGCACGGGGTTGGGGGTCTCAGACTAGAGTGCTTCAATCTGTTTCTTGCAGCCCCTAAAGTCATTTCAGGGCTCAGGTTACACGTGTCCACTCACTGCCAGTGAGTGTTCTCTCGTTCAGAATGGAAGCCGAAAGAATTTGAGAGGCATCTTTCCTGTTTATCTAGTAGAGAATTTTGTTTTCCAGTTTAGGGCCAGCAAACCGGTAATGCTTGCCAGACACTGGGGCTATTTGTATTGTCTCTCTGGCCACCTCCTGCCACCCACCCTTCCAGGGGTGATAACAGGGAAACAAAGAACTCAGAGTATGTACTGGACTGTATAATACTGACTCAGCAGTTAAACAGAAAGCTATGTTGTCCACTTTCTCTTTGGTTTTGTGTCTACCACTGTAGAGCAGTGTGTGTAAGATTTGACTTGAAGACCAACAGATCCCTTGACTTAAACAAAAATCTGACATTGGTTTGGTCTCTTCATTGAGGTCAGGGCTACTCTCCATAAGAGCTCTGTAGCTGTGTGAGGCGACTTAAGTGACAGGGCTTGGAGATGGCCATAGACACAGAATTTGGCTTTCTGTTGTGGGAGTCTGAAGATTATGAAGAAAGGGAAAATGACCCACGCGCGCGAGCGTGCGTGCGTGCGTGCGTGCGTGCGTGTGTGTGTGTGTGTGTGTGTGTGTGTGTGTGTGTGTGTGTGTGTGTGTGTCTCTGTGTGTCTCTGTGTGTCTGTGTGTGTGGTGGTGATTGGTTGGTTTGACCCAGGGGTGAGCTCAGTAGCCATTAAAGGATATTTCTAGCCTCAGGATTTTACCTAGGATGGCAGCTACCCTTACCTTAGGACCAGTCTGGAGAAAATCTCCAGCCTGCCCTGCACTGCCCTTTAATAGGTGTCAGCTCCTCTTAGGCCTTAGAGTTTTCAACTGAGGGAGTTGAATTATACAAACATGTTTTGGTCACTTGCCAATCATGGCCTTCTGGGACACTTGATATTTTATATCAAGGTACAGAGGGCAGCCACATGATGTGTTGGGCCATTTCTGTTTTCTGGGGAACACCAGTCTCACCATGGTGAGGCGTCAGCTTTGCATGACCCAGCGATTCTCTTTGCTCTGGAATGAAAGTGTTGAGGTGGGGAGCAGAGCAGGTTGTCTGTATGCCAAGAGAGCATGCTGGTGGGACAAACGCTGTACAGGTAGAGGTAAGAGAAAGCCAGAGGTCTTGACAGAATACAGATAAGGTATGTCACCCCTACTTCCAAAGCTATCCCTTAAAATCCACAACACTGTAGGAAGTTGCCCAGTGTAGGCACAGGCGCCTTGGCCGTGGTTGGTTTCACTTTTGTTTTCTCACCACTCTCATTTCTCTGCTTGAGTCCTGTAGTTTGTCACCTGGCCAAGTTTGACTGCCAGTGCATTCCAAACACCAGGGTGGCCTTTCCTTGTACTCTGGTAAAGGCCTTCATGTCTGGACCTAATTCCCTCCCACCGTGTTCTCATGAACACAGCTTCTAGTCATGCTGTTCTATGTTGACAGTGTAAATTTGTGCTTTTAAAGTTTTTTTCATAAGTGATATTGGAACATAAGCTATTTTCCAATTGCCCCACTCCCCCTGTAAATCCCCACTTCAGATGTCCCCACAAGCCCCCACACACTTGTAACCCACAGAGTTCAGTTAGTGCTTCCTGCTGGGATAGTGCTTATTTTGTTGACTTATTTTTATGTAGGTAACTATATCTGCTGTGAGTTCATGAGTGCAATTGCCATGATGTGCCCAGAAGACAATGTTTCATGGAATTCTTCCTTGTCCTTTGGCTCTTACATTGTTTTTGCATACACACATATATAAAGTTTTAATGCTATAGTTAGATCTAGTGTGTTCTTTCTAATTGCTGTGTTATATACTGCTGTCATCATATTTTGCATTTTACCTCTGCTTTGACTGCACAAGCCCAGGCTGAGATGAAGATCCCCATTGCTTATCAGGTCTCCCATGTGTCTGCACAGGTTTCTTCTAGGATGACATTTGAGTCTTGACTCATAGTCTAACCTGAGCTAGATGGTATTCCCAAAGGGCCTGTGCAAGTTTAGTTCCCACATGTAGTGTCTGAAAGTCCACTCATGCCCAGTCAAACTCAAGAGTTGTAGTCTGATGGATGGGTGTGAGCTAGACCTCATCATTTCAGCTGTGCTTCTCTGATAGCTAGTAAATTTGAATAAAAGAAACTTTTATACTGTTAGCTGCTCTTTTTACTGTTTGTTTTCCAAGTGCCCCTTCTGTGCTGGTTATTCATAACTGTCATTTATGGTTCCTTTTGGCTCCAGTATCTGTGGCTGAACAGAAACTTTAAGTTGTGGGTTGCCTCACAAGTGGCATTGTGTTTCTATAGGGGTCCAGCTTAAGAACTTCCCTCCCCACCTGGAAATCACTGTGTTTGTTTTTTACTGTAATTCGAAAACTAGTCTCATAATATTAATGTATGAAAGGGAATGACCTAGTTGTTTGGGTTTTTGTTTTATCAACTTAACACAAGGTAGAGTTATACAGGAAGAGGAATCTCAATTGAGAAAATGCCTTTATAAGATAGGTAATCCTGTAGACAGGCCATTTTCTAACTAATGATTGATGTAGGAGAGAGGGCCCAGCTCACTGTTTAGGTTGTTGGGTATATAAGAAAGCAAGCCAGTGGCAGTGTTCCTCCATAGCTTCTGTTTCAGTTCCTGCCCTGACTTCCTTCTATGGTAGATTGTGTTGTAGAAAAATAAATAAAATAATAAAGTAAATAAAAATACCCCCCAAGTTGCTTTTGGTCATGGTGCTTTATTATAGCAATAGAAGTCATAACTAAGACAGGGAAATCTTAGAATGGAGAACAGGGAAAGAATGGAGACTATCACAATGAATACATAGATACATTTTTGCAATCCACCAGATTAGCAAAAACAAACAAGTAGATAATAGCAATGCTCTAAGCTGCATGTAGCACCAGAAACTCACTTATTGCAAGTTGAGTATGTCCATCGCTATTAGTATACAGTTTGCTTTTATCTTGTAAAAGTTCATCCTCTGGGTATGTATACCACATGTGTACCAGATGTGTACAGCAGTGTGTTCATAGTAGCATTGTTTATAATGGAAAAAGAACTAGAAGCACTTCTAATGTCCATCAGCCAGTGAATTTGTAAATCTCAGTGTATTCATTTAGTGGAACATTGTATAGTTGTATATGTAGATCAGCTACAGAGTGCATCTACATGGATCACCTTCTCAAAACAACATTGAATAAAATGGGCAAGTGTTGGGTCAAGAAGATGGCTCAATCAGTAATGTGCCTGCCTTGCCCATATAAAAGCCAGGCACAGAGCTTAGGAAGAGGCATATCCTTAGAGCTCATTGACCAGTCTTAGTGAACCATTGAGTTCCAAGTTCAGTGAGAGACTGAAAATAAGGTGGAAAGCAATTGAACACCCCACACACACACACCCTTTTGTATGAATATTTGGTCTGCATGTGTGTCTGTGTACCTTGTGCATGTCTGATACCCACTAAGGCCAGAAGAAGGTGCCAGATTCCTTGGGTCTGGAGTTAGAGGTGGTTGAAAGCCTCCATTTGGGTGCTGGAAGTCAAACTAGTTCTTCTGAAAGAACAGCCAGGCTGAACTACATCTCCAGCCCCCAAAGCAGTATATTTCTGTAATTGCACACATAGTGGTGCAATGTAAAGGAGAAGTCATAATAATAATAAAAATATGGAGTACTGGTTACTTTTGAGGACAGACATTTCCTGGGTTACACAGGCTTTAGTGATAATGCTTAGTGGCCGATGACACTGAATTTCCTATGCTGGTGGTGACTATCTAGGTGTGTGTTTATGACTTTTAAATCTTGTTTGTGTGCTACATTTGGAGTATATGTTCATGCTTTTTTTTTTAAATCAGATCATTAGAGTTGTTGGAGGGTCTCTGTTAAGGTATTGCATTCAGGCATTTTGTGATCCTATTACAGAGAGCCCTAGGTTGACCTGTGGGAAATACTGCTTTGATTTTACACTGGTTTTATTCTTGTCAGGATAATAGAGAGATGGTTATTAAGCCAAGGCTGCAGTTATTTTAATTTAAATTTTTGGCGGCTCAGGGAATTAACACATGGTTCTCATACATGCTAGGCTCGCACTCTGCTATATTCCTAGCCCAAGAATGTAGATCCCTGACAGGTTCCTCCTGTGCTGTGTTATCAAGGCAACCAGATAGCTGAGCGAGAGTGCTGGCTCCCAGACCTCTTACTGGCTGTGTATCCCTGGACACATATCTGATGTGAGGGTGGGATTAGGTTATGGGTAATATGGTCCTTTAGAGTTCTGTGTACTGAAGCCGGGATTTCTTTTCTCACCTCTGGTGTCTTCTCAGCCAGGTCCCAGTGATAAGAAGTCAGAACTCCTGCCAGCTAAGTGGAGCAGCAATAAAGAACTGTATGTCCTCCGGTATGAGTCTAAGGATGGGACCAAAAAACTCCTTCTGAAAGCTGTGTCTGTGGAGAGCGCCATGATCATCAACGTGCTGGTGAGTCTGCGCCCAGCTTTGCTAACGGTGTGGGATTGAGGTGACTGTCCAGAAACTCATTTCCGCAGTGGAGTCAGAAATGCCCCCAGTTTTTATCTAGTGATTCCACTGTGGGCATTTTCTCCTGAGGTGGGAAACCTCGGCAGATGTAGAAAAGCTTTGTGCATAGACGTGTTTATTGCCTGTGTTATACAGAAAGGGCTCCTGTCCACAGCAGTACTTCCTCAGTGACAGCACAGGAGATACAGCTCTCTTAGTTTCTTAAGGAAGAGGTTCCATTGTCTTGGGCCCTTTACATTTCATGTTTCTTGCTCTGGAGACTGTTCCCACATCATATCATATGCATATATTCCCTCCACCATCCCTTTATTCCTTCAGTGCCTCTCTCTCCCTTTCGCTTCCTCTCTGTCTGTCTCTATGCTGTGTATGTGTGTGTTCGTGTTCATCTGCTCAAAAAGTTCACTCCTTTCCACCCCCACCTGCCAGACAAGTCTAAATGATAGCTCTCAAGTTCGATTATTTTCCATCTGGTAAACATAACATCTTGTATTATGTACTTATTTGTGCTCTGCTTTAATGCTGGTATTTTGCCCCTGAACTATGAGCGTCTTGAGGCAAATGACATTTTCTGTTGAATTTTGTGTTGGTGGTCTGTATGGGTCATGAAAGTATCTGACTGTACTATTTGTACTTGACTTTTTCCACTCAATATGTTTTGGAGGTCTTTCCATAACACAGATAGATAGACATCATTCTCTTTCACTACTGTATATTAGTCCACTGTCCTTTCCCTTATTGATGAATGTTTAGTCTTTATCTAAGAACTGGGTTGTTAATTGCAAACAATGAATTCATTCAGGTTAATTTAAGTGGATTGAAAGAACTGAGATAGCTCATTGAAGTAGGTCCCAAGCTAGTCTTCCAGTTTTTATCTAGTTTTATCCCAACCTCTAGAAACCACTGTTGCTTGCCCCCTTCCAGGCTTGGGTACTGATTAATACTGTCAGTGTGGAGTGCCCCATGCTGTGACTCTTGCAGCCCTGCTCCCCTCATGAGAAGGATGCCTGCCCTTAGCTGGGGCTGCTTTTCTATGCTATGCTACTCCAGGTTATAGTTATGTATCCATTGGGTACCTCAGTTCCTTGCCCACCCTCCCCTGTATACCAGTAAACTGAGGACTATGCCCCCATCTCTCATTTTCTGTTTTCACTTTTCTAGGAACATGGTACACAGCAGGTGGCAGACTTGACTCTGAACTTAGATGATTATATTGATGCAGAAGACCTGAGTGATTTCCACAGGTACTTCTAAAGAATGTCTTTCCCGTGAGAAAAGGCAGAGGAGGGACTCAGTAGCAAGAAGTAAGGAATGGCAGGGAAGTGCCCAGAGAACCAAGTACGGTTGACTGAAGAACTTCCCTCCCAGGCACAGTCAGTTCTCCGTTCTCTTCTTTTTCATTGTTTGTTTGAAGACAAGGCTCAAATAGAAAATGTCTCATGAAGTAAAATGATGTATTCAATAGTCCACAGATGCTACCCTGGCTACAGACTTGGGTCTAGGCTGACTGCTTCAGTCAAGGATAAGATCCTCAGTGTTCAGCAGGTGCCTCCATGGACAGAGACACTTTCTGGTAGAGGTGCTTGTGCACAGGCATGACAGCCTGAGTTCTGTCCCCGAGTCCAAGAGAGAGTTGTTCTCTGATCTCTACATGTAAGCCATGATACACGTGCACGCGCACCCGTACATACACACTCACACACACACAGTCACACACAAATACATCCTAAAAAGAGTAGGTTCCTTAGAGAAAGTATGCTTAATCAAGTCTTCACTCCACTCCCAGATTTTTTTTTAATATTTTGAAGCCCAAAGTTGGTTTCCACTGCCCACTGTTCACACCTGTTACAAGCCCTCTACCTACACTGACATCAGCTCCATGTTGGGGTTCACTCTTAGTGTTGTACGTTATGTGAGTCTGAGCAGACATACAGTGGCATACTCAGTGTCAGTGTCATATGGCACCATTTCACACTGTAAGCAAACCTTTGAGTTCTACCTGTTCATTACCCTCCACTGTCCCCAGAAATGGTGATGCTGTTACTGTCTCCATAGTTTCTCTTCCAGAATGGCTGAAAAGGAGTCCATACAAACTGTCTCCTGATGTGGCTGTTCTGCTTTGTCACTGCTGGCAGTGACTAAAGAGCATTTCCGCTGTTCCACACCCTGGCCAGCCTTTGGCAGTGCAATAGTGATGTCTCGCTCTTTGGAGATAGGGTGTGTTGTCTTTCTGTGGCTTACTTCTCCATGTAGTCCTTCTTTAATGAGGCTGTTCAGATCCTTTGTTCAGTTTCGACTTAGGTTGTTCATTCTCCTACTGAGTTTTAGGAATTTGTATAATTTAGGTGACAATCCTTTATCTGGCAAATGTTCTCCACATATTTTCTCCCAGCTTATGGTTTCTCATTCTGCTGACATCCTAAACTTCTAATTTTAAAATTTGTAACCTACAGAAGAGAGACCATTTGCAAAAACATGCAGTGAATACTCATTAACTATTACCCAGATTAAGTAGTTTTTAACATTTTGCTGCTTTTGCTCAATAAGAAATTGTTATTTTTTTTATTCTTGAACCATCTGAGGATTCTTTATAGGCTTTATATAGTTTGATCCCTAAATAATGTATCATGGAACAACTGTGTGTGTGTGTGTGTGTGTGTGTGTGTGTGTGTGTGTATCTTGCTAAGTAGGCCATGATGCCTCAGCAAACATTTTATATAAATGGAATTGATATATAATATTGAGCTTGGTGTTTTCACTCAACATAATACTCTTGTGATCCATCTAAATTGTAGTGCACATTAACTGTTTCTCTTGTTTACTAAGTATGTTTTATGTTGTGTAAATAACAATTGATTTAACTGCTCACTGGCTAAAGGACAAGTTAAATGAATAGACTGTGTCCAGTTGGGGCAATTATGGATAAGGATGCCGTAGCATTTGAATACAGACTTGTGTGCAGTTGTGATTTTAGTTTCTCTGTGGAAAATGTCCCAGCGTGCAATGGTAAATTCGTATTTGGTTTAGTTTTGATTGTCTACCATGTCACATGCGTGACCCCACTTCTGTGTATCTGTCCTAACATTTGATTTTATATTACTTGTTGAATGTACAGCGATGTTTACTGGGATCATTCATTTGCATTTCTCTTAATAGTGAATGAAGTTTTGAGGCGTTTCTTTTCATTGGGGCAGAATTTCCTTGGAAATTTGTCATAGACAAATAGTTTCACTCCTCACTTTTTAATTTTTATAATTTTTTTCTTTCCCTTATTATACTGTCCATCACTTCCAGTGTTATGTTAAATAAGGGTTGCCAGAGAGGGCTTCCTTGCCTTATTCCCACAGTTAGGGCATAAAGGATTTTGGTTCAATCCTTGATTGTATGTGTGGATAGCAGATGTTTATTAAGCTGAGGATACTTTCCTGTATTCCTAGTTCTGTTAGTTCTCAGTTTTTATCATGAGTAGATTTCTCATATTGTTTTGTGAAATGGTTTTGCTTTATTAGTTAGTATGATTATCTGATGTTTTTTGTTAGAATAGTGGGCTACATTGATTTGTAGAAATTAAACCAACCTAGCTTACCTAGAATAAATCCTGTTTTATCATATTATATGATTTTAATATATTTTAAGGTCAGTGTTAATATTTGTTGAGAGTTTTTGTCTTGAGTTGGTAAAGAAATGCTAGTCTGTAATTGTTTAGTTTGTGCTTTGTCTGGTTTTGATGTCAGACTAATACTGGCTCCCTGACCTGTGTTTCTGAAAGTGACGGTAAAGTTTTGTAACTAGACTTTACTGTACTGTGTCTGGAAATGTCTCTGGAGGAGGGTTATGTTTTAGTTGTGTTTCTGTTGCTGTGATAAAACACAATGACCAAGGCAACCTATAGAAGGGTTGATTCGGGCTTATGACTCCAGAGGGATAGGTGTCCATCATGGAGATGAAGCATGGCAGCAAGCAGCAGGCTGGAGCAGGATATTGAAGGCTTGCATCTTGAACCACAAGCAGAAATCACAGTAAACTGAGAATGATGCATGGGTTTGAAACCCACCCACATGACACACTTCCTGCTAAACCTACCCAAGCAGTGCCACCAGCTGCGACCAAGTACTCAAATGCCTGAGGCTGTGGGGACATATCATTTAAACCACTACAGTATGGGCTCAGTTTTTTCTCTTTGATCCCTACATTATCTGGAAATGCTTGAGTTACATGAATTCAGAGACTACTATTTTGAGTTCTAAAGTGGTTCTATATGATCAGGGAACACACTCTAGGATTTCAGGTGTGGAGTTTGCTTTATGGACCGGGATGTGGTTCATTTTTAGAATGTCAGTTTTTAAGGAGCCCTAGGGTCCTGCCCACTTGCCACTGCCTCATCTGGCCACCACACCTCAGCCATAGCTTATTTCTCACAGGCAAAAAGGGACACCTGGTAGGGTTAGTCTTCAGAATCTGGCTGAACTGAGCCCCAGAACCTTGCCTCCACCCCTAGGACCAGGAACCTGGTTCATCCTTCCATGACCCTTCCCATGACATGTGATGAACACATAATGAAGCTGAGGGAGGGGTGGCATGGGGATAAGGGGCAGCCAGTTCAGACCCTGTGCCCCTACCCTCACTTCTTTCTAATGGGGTGGTAAATGAGGAGGGGCAACTCAGATGCCTAAGAAACTTAGGCCCAAATCTCGGAGACAGCGCCAGGCTGTTGCCCCCCTCACCCAGGTCCGCCGGACGGCCGGTTCCCACCATAGCAAACAGGCCAAACGCAAGGCCAAAAGGTCTCAGGGTCGCCGCCCCCGCCAGCAGAGTACTGTACACCAGATTCCCAGCCAACTGCAGGAAGCTGACTACTCAACTCCCTCCTGCAGGACCTACAAGAACAGTGAGGAGCTTCGGTCTCTGATCAGATCTGGAATTATCACACCTATCCATGAGCAGTGGGAGAAGGCTCGAGTAAACAGTCCCCATCGGGAGTTCCCACCTGCCACTGCCAGAGAGGTGGACCCACTCCGGATTCCCTCACACCATCCTCACCATAGCCGGCAGCCTCCTTGGTGAGTACCGGTGGAGCCCCTGGTGGATAGCCATGTGAGTCTATGGTAGGATCTCACCGCCCATCCCATCCTGCTGCTTGACCCCTCCCTGGGGTTGTTGAAAGTCTTGGTGTGTGGAGGTAGAAAATAGAAACATGACCAGATCGGTGTGTTTGCTGCTGTTGCTGCTGCTAGTTTCTCTGACTATACAGCATCCTAAGCTGCCTGCCTAATTTCTAGAGACCACACAGCCCCTCCATCTGCAAGGGGCTGCTGCCCAGGTGAATCACATTTACTCTCTGTGTGGGACTGTGAGTGGGACTTGGGAGAATTCATAGGAGCAGAAGTGCCATCCTGGAGGACAGGCAGCCCCAGTGTCTTCTCCATTTCACCACTGACAGCTTCACAAGATGGCCAAAATAGCTGCTATATGAATGAATCAAGTCCAAGATCTTTGCAGATATGTTTAGCAGCAATAGTCCTAGAGACTTCTACTCTGATTTAGGGGACAAAGGCCAGGGGACTATAGTCTATCTGAGACCACATGTACTAGTCTGGAGCCCACAGTATAGTTAAGGCTGGCTTGGCATGGTAATGGGGAAGCATTCACTATGGCATATAATAAGCACTCAATGTCAACTACCTTTGGCTTTTTTTTTGGGGGGGGTTGGGGGTTTCGAGACAGGGTTTCTCTGTATTGTTTTGGAGGCTGTCCTGGAACTCGCTCTGTAGACCAGGCTGGCCTCGAACTCACAGAGATCCGCCTGCCTCTGCCTCCCAAGTGCCGGGATTAAAGGCGTGCGCCACCAACGCCCGGCTTACCTTTGGCTTTTTATGTTGGCTAGAAGTTATATACTTTTGGTTAGTTGACATAGCTAATGAGTTAAAATCTTATAATTAATAAATGGTAAGTCAGTTTGATGAACGCTTCTGAAATACTGGCTCCTGTGGAAAGAATGGAGAACAACAAAGAGTACTTGAGAAGTCTGGGAACTACTTATTCTATAGCCTACTTATTTCATAGAAGGGGACTAGCAAGGTGGCCTGCCTAAGGTCACCAGCCACTAATAAAGAGGCAGAGTAAGGCTGGGGTCATGCTGTCTTCACTTGCACCAAGTGCTCTAGCTATGGTCTCAGTGAGTATGCATGCAAGCTTTTAGAATATGTGCTGGGCAGTTTTCGAAATGGGTGATTCTTAGACCTGAAGCAGTGATGTCCCTCACACAGCTAGGAGCCGCTGCCCTTCACAAATGACCCAGACCCAGGTTTCACTTCTCACCTTCCACGTCTGCATTTTATCTGCCCCACACCTGGGAACCACCACTCTGCCCGCACAAGTGGGTTTATTTTCCTGGGTGTGGAGTGGCCTGTGTGGATCGATTTAGCTAAAAGTATAGCTGGAGAGGTCAGTTCATTGCAATGGAGAATGCCAGGTGGATGGGGCTTTGCTCTCCTGAACTCTGAATTACTAAAAACCGATAAAAAGAAGGCTGTACATGCTGGGTTTTAAATTATTTTTTTAATCTAAGCCTGGCCTTTTATTGTTGGTCTTACCAATCTAACCCACTTACGTTGGCCCCATCTGTCTGCAGATAGGAAATTGTCTACCTCAGATCGTGCCCTTTGTTTTGAAAGCAAATTTTTCCTATGCTTATCCAGTGTCACTAAAAGTAAATCTTTAGTATAAAGCCCTTATTTAGGTCATTCTGAATTTATTTTTGATCCTTATCCATTTGTCTTTACATGTGATTTATAACAGTTTGTGTTCTGCATCTTCTTACTATTCTGCTGATTAAAATGTTAAGTATGTCTTTTTTTTAGTATCTGATAACTTTATTTTTACTGGTGTTCTATGACTTGTCTGAGTCCTTGGAGTATTTCAGACATTTCAGGTTTTCATTGAAAGTAGCCATGAACACTCCCTATCAAATTCTGTATTTGTATGTACACACACACAATAAGAAATTAAATACATTTTAAAAGACTATAACTAGATTCCATTCACCTCCTTCCCTCTCCTAGTATTTGGTGCCCCCCCCCCCCCCCTTCTTTTCCTTTCTCTGGTGCTAGAGATGGAACCCAAGGTCCTATACGAGTTAATAAAAATGCACTGTACCACTGAGCTACATTCCAGCTAGATTCTTACCTCTGCTTCTGCGTTCAGTGATGCAGGTTTTGTTGAAGGGTCACACAGATTTTCGAGTAAAAACTGATAGTGTTACTGTTTTAGTTAGCACGAACTTGGGAGAAAGAGATCTAAAAATGGGGTGGACTTAAGTCTCATGCAATAGCCAACTTTATTCAGAGAATCAGACAATTTATACTCTAAGGGTTAAGAAGAGTCACATGAGTAAGGACTGGACGAATGTGACAAAACATGTTTTCCATAGAGGCACATGAACAACAAGAGCTGAAGTAAACTCACTCCTATCCACTACACCTGGGAAGAATACAAAAGCACATTGCAACAACAATTCTGTGTTTTGAAGAAACTGAGGTCACATGACTCCATCTTCGTCTGTGTTCCAACAATAGAGTAGTTACCTTTGCAAATACTTTTTGTGGTTATATTTTGCTGTTAATGCTAAGCACTGATTGACAAGTAGTAATTCTTTACAAGATGTGGTGTGAAGACACAGACTTTCTATATGTCTGTTGTATTAAAGTCTGCTCATCTATCAAGCTCTTTGAACAGCTCTTTTCATCCATTATCTTAGAAGATCATTTATTTGAACATTTGGAAAATACTAATTCCAAGATACATAAATCTGTTAAAAGCTCATATTTTTATTTAAAAATATCAAAAATAATTTTCAAAAGCTATTACTAATATCAGAAAAGTACTTAGATTTTTGTCATGTAAAGGTGAATACAAGTTTCCAATTTACTAATTTTTTTACTTAAAATTTCACTTTCTAATTGGTTACATATCGTGCCCATTGTTTTCCCTGCAGTGACAGGTCTCTTCTTTTGGAGAAAGTGTCAAATATGTAATCAAGTCTGAATAACCACAGTTTTCTGTTTTTTCAAGTTAAAAAGATAGTTTTCATTAACATGTCTATTCCATTTATAACTTAAAACAATGGTACAAATTCTTTGTAGAAGTGCTTTGCTACGTGTGATCGTCCCACATTGTATCTCACAGAATATAAAAAGACATACTCAAAGACAGACATTAGAAGATACCCTTGAATGAAGTTAATATGCCCAGTAAATAAGACTATTGGAGAAACCTAACTTTTCCTTTGCAAGAGGATATCAGTTGGAGAGAGCTTCTTGTTAAGGGATGGGGAATTGTGTCTGCTTCCTTGCTGTGGTGCTGGGAGGACCCTGTCTAACCTGAAGGTTATGCAAGTCCTCTGAGTTGCCACAGTCTCCATAAGTTCATATGTACATTAGACCTATTGTGTCAAGTAGACATTGTTTCCTTGGTGTCATCTATCCCCTCTGACTTAAAATCTTTCTGCTTCCTCTTCCAAATAGCTCCTGAACCCTGAAGGGGCTATTTGATGAAGATACCCCATTTAGGGCTTAGTGTTCCAGGGTCTCTTGCTCTGCACATTGTTCAGTTGGGTACTTCTGTGTTAGCTCCCATTGACTGCAAAAGAAGGTTTCTAGGATGATGGCAGAGAAAGACACTAATCTACAGGAATAGCTAAATGCTCTTAGGAGTCATTTTATTATTGTGTTCCTTTAGCAAAACAATCATTTGATTTGATTTTCTCCTAGACCCATGGTCTATCTAGTCTCAGGTTCTTGGCCACCTGAGCAGTGCCAGGCGTGGGTTCCATCTTGCAGAGTAGGCCTTAAATGCAATCAGAAAACAACGGGTTACCCCCAGTGTTTGTGCCACTATTTCACCAATGGCACAATTAATTAATTTTTGGCTTTTTAAAACCAGAGTATTGTAACTCCTTTGATTTTTTTTTTAACCCAGGGATAGCAAATTTAGTTAAATAATATTCTTATAGCTGCCATTGTCTTGTTCTACATGATTCAGACAACACACTCAGTGTGTTCAGCCTCTCAAATCTGTCATTTTACAGATAAGGAAAAAGGTCATATAACACAAGGTTATGTATTATATAATAATAATAACATAATATTGAACACTGCCTATTGAACTCTATTATGTAACAGGTATTATGCTTTAGTAAACACTATCTTTTAATCTTTATGGCAACTTTCAGAAATAGATACTCTTGTCTGTATTTTGTGGAAGAAAAGCCTTGATCTTGTAGATTTCTTGGCTTGCCCTAGGTCATATAACTGTTAAATGGTGAAACTGCAGTTTGAACTTGAAATTCACTAAAAGGCCTTTACTTTTTTCTTATCCTTATGTTACTCTCTACTCATCATGTGTCAGGCACTGTACTAGGGCTCTGACACTGTCTGATGAGATATGATCCAATCTTTAAGCAGCTTCCAATTGATGAGGATGGATTGCTCCTTTCAGGCTTATTGTATGTCTTTAAAACAATGACAGAAATATGTCTGAAGAGGTATGCTGAAGCAAAAAAAGAGAACAGTGTTAAATGAAGAACTAAGGAGAGCAGGGTAGAAGGAAAGGCTTTATTCACAAAGGCGATACTTAAGCCTTAATTTAAAAGTGTTTGGAACTGAAGAGAGGACTCAGTGGTTAAGAGCACTTGTTGCTTTTGCACAGGACCTGAATTCAATTCCTAGCACTCATATGATGGCTCACAGCCATCCATAACTTCAGTTCCAGGAGATCCAATGTCCTCTTCTGGGCACTAAGCATGCATACACACACACACACACACACACACACACACACACACACACACACGAAAGCAAAACATTCATACACATAAAATTAAACCTGTGTATTTAAAAAAAAAAACAGGGCAAACTTAATGCTATTAGAAGTGGTTGGTTTTTATGGTCAAAGAAACAGTAGAAACAGTGGGATTATGAAATCCTCTGGGGTGGGAGTAAAGCCTATAGTGCTAGCTCATAAAGGAAGCTGAGGTACATGTGAATAACAACAATGAGCAGAG